AAAGTATGTAATGAAGTAGAAAACAGCAAATTAAAATGAAAGCCAAAGGAAAGAAAGCGGAAAACGTAAGAAGTGAATTAGAAAGTATTTTATCTAAAACAAAAAAGAATGAAGCTGGTTTTTTATGAAGTTCACAAAAGATGAAAGAAAATTGCTTAAGAGAAAGTTGAAATACATGTTTCCTTTGATTAAAGACGTCAGATGCAAATTGAGAAGACTGATTTTTGACCGATTCGAGCCGAAATAGAAAAAACGATAAAGGAGAAAATCGAAAAAATTTTGAAAGTAATGCAAAAAAAAAAAATAAAAAATTTGACTTATAACTACGGTGACCATCCATACTAAGTATACTTTATTTATTTTTCTAAAAATCTATCTTACCCCTTGTTTCAAAACTTGTTCTTTTAAAATAAATTTTTGTTACGATAACAGGCGTTGATGCATTTTATATATTACAGGCTAGTAGATACAAATTTTGAAGAAAGAGCAGATAATACAAAAAAGTTAGAAAGCTCATTCTTGTCAATTAATTTCTCGAACTCTCAAAATAAAGACTGTGCAAAGCTCATTTTGTTCTACTGGTAATTCTTGCGGTGGGTTGAGTTCAGTTGACTGTCACTCAGTATAGGAAATGTAAAGAGTCACACTTCAGCGAGAGCCCCCAGAGAGCAGAGTGACCTGCTGTGTACCGCATCTACATTCCATCCATTTATTTTCTCATACACAGTGGAGAAGGCTGTGAAAACTCAAGGATTTTTAGTAACCTGGGTAATCGTTTAAGTGATGCTTCAGCTTGGTTGTCGTATTTAGGACACGACAATACTCTCTTCGTTCCTGCATCTGCAGTAGAAATACCAAGCGGGGAAGCTTTACGCTGTTCGTGTATTTACATTGGAGCCAATGGAGCAACGATCAAGACGAACTAGACACTCAGTTTGTGACTCACCTTGGTTGTGGTGGTTGTCGTGCTCAATAAAAACCAATCTGTTCGATTGAAGATCGTTTAGTTCCCTTCCGCGTCAGATCGCCTAGGAATATTTCTGTGCTAAGGAAGACAGATTACATCCTTTGTGCATCGCTTAGCCAATTCGCTTAGAACCGTTCTTCCTTGCTACCTTCCTTGCTACCTTCAAAGAGGTATTTTGTTGCTTTGTAGATATTAAATCGAAGCCTGGTTTTCAGAGTGGAAGGTGATAGAGCAGTCTATTACAGGAAAGCAGCCATCTTTATATCTCTTAATTCATCTTGAAAGACCCCACAGAAGTCTAGCTAAGGGGCATCGCAAAAAGCGCCGAGAGCTTTGCTGTTCGAGAACGGAAAGTCACTATTGATAAGCACTCTTTCCAATTTGCTGCTGGGCGATCTTTTGCCCAACTTCGCGCACCATGCTGTAAAGCTGAAAAGCTGACGGGTTATATGTGGTTACAAGCCCAATCTTTAGTCCGCAGCCTTTTTTTAATATAAAGGTTTCGGTTAAGCTCGCATAATATGAATATATATGTACATAATGAAAACTTATACCGTATTTTTATTTGTAAAACATGGTCACCGTACGTATAACTATAATCCGTCGAATAGGCATAATTGATTTTAAATTTAAACCTATTATTTTTAAGACTTTTAGATTACAAAAGGGTTCTAGAGATGCGGTCCCCCAAATTCGATGGAAAATCTGGACAGATAATTTATTTGGAAATTAGATTCCGGTGACAGGTACCAAGATCAACGGAAATAAGGTCAATTGACTTTATTTCCCACCCTGGTACTAAATAAAGTCAATTGAGATTATTACCTTGTCAAAGGCGAAATAAAATCCATAGACATTATTGCTCTTTCAAACATTAAATTTGCTTAGCTTGGCGGCGGTGGTTCAATTACTAAAACGCACTCGGTGGTTCAATTACTATTAACAGTAAAGATAAATTTTACTTAGAAAAGAGCAAAGCAAAATATATGTGTCAAAAGTAAAACAAATAAAAATCGATAAAAAATTCACATTAAATGATTGATTTTCTTCTGCTATTCGGATTTGAGCAGTGCTCTTGCTTGTGTAGTCGATAAGATATGCCTACTGCCACTCGGGAGCCCCATGGTTCAAGCTGTCGCCCCTCCGAGTGTACTTCTGTCATAAAAAAGCTTCATCGGACGTCGAGTAAAAGGGTACATCTCTCCATTTGTGTCACAACAGCATGAAGCAAAAGACGAATCGTAGGAGAGGATCGGCCAAGCACATAGAAAACGTTTAAGCCAAACCACTCATTTATTCGAATCAAATGTTATTTACTGTTCATCCCAAATAACACAAGAAAAAATGTTAAATCTATTTCCCTTAAAGTGGAAAAGAGCCTTGAAAACTTCGACAAACTCAAAACTTTTATTGAGAGGTCTAGACTTGTATGAAATAAAAAAAAACGTTTTTAGGTAAAGAATCTGGTTTATACGACTTGAAAAAAACGTTAACAAATAAAATGAAAAAGTCGAAATTTGAAAAAGGTTTTTCGTATATTTGCATTGTAATTGAATAGTCATTTATACATTAAAAATATGACAACGGTTGGTAAGCTAACAAAACTGCAAAATTCTGCGAATTGGGGAAAACTCTTTGTATACAATTTTTCGTAGTAATATTTGAAATAGTTATGGTTCATATTTTATGTTTTTAAATGTAAAAGTCTTTCCTAGGTTTTTCTTCTTTTTTTTTTGATCACCCGAAGTATCTGACGTGATGCTACATGAAGTTGCGTTACTAAGGCCCCATTTCAGATGGCAAATAGAGATTGTTGATTAACTTCAAAAATTCATTTTCAGATGAATATTGGCTATTTAAAAATGAGATATGCAACCCTGTGTTTGTACCAAACAACAAACAGATAGATTGTTTTATCAAGCTTGCCAAAGAACAATCAGCAGTTTATTACAAAATGTAAACAAACAAACAAATGCAACAACATTTGAAGGAGCAAGGCAAGGAGTGTTGCCACTTGTATAAAAGCTGATTTGAAACCCATTGAAAGTTAAATGGCATTTAAATAACAATTCAAAATTAAACTTAAGTGCCGTTTAAATATTCATTTGAAATTGGCTCTAAAATTTCCATTGAAAATTTTTTTAACGCATATATTTTTTATTTTGACTTCAGAGCCATCTAATAATAATAATAGATTGGCGCTTACACATATGTTAGTGTTTGGCCGAGCTTCTCCTTCGATTTGTGGCGTGCGCCTTGATGTTGTCACACAAAGCGGAGGGACTTACAGTTTTACGCCGACTCCGAACGGCGATTTTATTTTTATGAGAAGCTGTTTTTCAGGGCAGAAATACACTCGGAGGTTTGCCATTGCCTGCCGAGGGACGACCGCTATTAAAAAAAAACCTTTTTTCTATATTTTTGCGATGTTGCTTTTACCAGGATTTGAACCCAGGTGCTGCGGAGTGGAAGGGCGCACTGCTTACCACTACACCACAGCGCCATCTAGCGGTCCCATTTATTGCAAATCTCTGCCTTACATTGTCTCAAAATATCTGGTACTATAATGAATCTGTTTATGGTATTGTTTGACCTTTTATCCGAGAGTTTCAGTTCAAAATGAAAAACTAGAATAAGTCGCGCAACTACCTTTTAATGATCTTAAAACGAGATGGTCGGCGCGAGTTGTTCTCAGCATCAATTCGAAGAAAGTGGAACTTATTCGCTCACGAGACGATACAAGACACCGCAACTGGCTCCACCTAAACTAAACGGACAACTCTTAAATTTACGAATAAAGAAAAATTCCTAGGTTCATTCTCGACAAAAACTGAGCTGGAAGGAGTACATAGTCCAGCGTTATGAGGAGGCGTCTGTGGCCTTATATTCGTGCAAGAGGGCAATTGGTAAGAAATGGGGGTTGAGCCGGAGTATATGTAGGCAGCCGTGGTTAAACCGATTCTCCTTTATGGAATTATAGTATGGCGGCCGGCCTTGAGCAAGGCCTCAGGTCTTAATCTACTCAGAAAACTAAAGCGGACTGGTATGATCTGCATTAGTTGGGCAATCCGGGCAGCGCCAAATTTTGCTTTAAATCAGGCACGCCCAACGCTGGCAGAACTCCATATGCAAGTTCCCTGCCTGGCAGAATTCTATAGGCAAGTGCCCTGCGCTGAGCACGGCTGCTTTAAATGTCTTTTTGGATCTTAAGCCACTATATTTAGTGGGTCGGCATATGGCATCTCTTGCTGTACTTCGGCTAAGAGAGATAGGGCAATGGGAATCGGGATTCCTGGGTCACTCCTACATTATGGAAAAATATAGATTTCTCCCGGGCTATACAGACCGTTGTGTTGAACTCTGGTTCCGGATAGAAACTTCGTCATTAAAAGCCCACGCAGGGAGGAATGGGCAGAAAACTACTATACTCCACCCGGTAGGGGGTTCTTCTCCCGCAGTCCTGCCCTAGGCAGTTCATTTCGAGTACCGGACTACTGCAGTGTCTTCCAAGCTGAGGTCTCAACTATAATGAAGGCTATAAACTAGCTTCGTACTGATTTAAAAGGTAAAGAATTGTTCATATTTAGTGACAGCCAGGCAGCAATTGAAGCTGTGACTACCGTCACGATTAAATCAAAAATTGTGCTGAACTGCCGCCAATCTCTGCAATAGATGGCAGAGTAGTCTAAAGCGCATTTGAATTCCCGGTAATAGGAACATAGACGGTAACTGTATGGCGGACGAACTTGCGAGGAAGGTATGACCAAGTCGATTCTTCCGTTCAAAGAACGCATTGGTATGCTCTTCGCCACTGAACAATCTGATTTTAAAAGAATTTCTAGGCAAACTTGGCCCATTGGTTAAGTACGCAGAACGGCTGGAAGTGCCTTACCATAGATGCTGCAGAAGTTGCAAAAACTACGAGGAGGAGACAGTTCTCCACGTTGACTGTAACTGCCCTGCATTATCGAATAGCGTCGCCTCCTGGGGTTTCCTTTCTTTAGTGACCTTGACAAATTGGGAGGTTTAAACCTTAGAAGCCTGACGAGTTTCGCCAAGGATTCAAAATGATTAAGCAAGGGGGAGTGTAACTCTTAGTCGTGGTGTCACAACGGGCACTTCTACCTAACTATCTTATCTTATCACGAGTATAAAAAAATCTCATCTAAAAGTTATAAGTTTCCAACTTTGGTTAAATGTCGAATTTAAAATTTTCCGATAGGAGTCCAAATCAAAAATTTCCCGCGTAAACGCCACATGCTCTTTTCGATATTTACAGCTTATTTATTACTAACCGTCCGTTTGGAAGGTAAGCTTGGATTTAAATAATAAAAATACTCATTAACAATTCTAATTGAATTTCAAAAAACTTATATACTTTATAAACATTTAGGCAACATAATAGCAATTGGTAGTGTCTTAAATGGACATAGAAACAGAAAAATAGTAGATATACATAGATACATAAGAAGAGGCACTTACATTTATAACTAAACCATAATGTTGCACCGCATGAAGCGCACTCTTGCATTTGTGGGTGGTGACGTTGTTGTAAGTACATATGTGCAAATAAATATTCATTGGTACATATGTATGTGTGTGCGTGTGCAACATCTATGTAAGTGTATGTTTGTGTTTATGGCTGTAAATACGCTGCATGGCTATCGACACGTTGGTGCAATACACAAATACGCACACTGTTTACATTAAGGCGTAAAACAACAACAAAACGCTTATGGGTGGCAGGTGTGTGCTCTTAGGACATTGCTGAATCGAAACGTTTAGGAGCTGTTGGCTTGCCTCATGGCTCTTGGCTCTAATAGTAGTTATTATCGCATTGCATGCTCTCACTCGAGCTCGAATACTGGCTGGTCATCGAATTTGCTTTGCTTATATTGCTAATCTGCATTGTTGCGCTATTGTTGGCGCTGTTGGCGCAACTGCTATTATGCTTGCGTTCTTTAACGCCACTGCGACCACTCTTACCCACCTTTTCGGCTGTTGGCGGTTGCTGATGCTGATGCTGTTGCTGTTGCTGCGGCTGTTGCAATGAGCGATTGCTGCGCGATTTTGCTGGTTTGTGTTGTTGGCTCAAATGTTGTTGTTGCTGCTGGTGTGCACTACCTTTCATCTTGTGCGTTTTGCTGTTACCGCTTTTATTATGCTTCAAACTGTGATGATGATGCTGCGGCGGTGGCGGCGGCTGATTTAGAGCGTGACGCTGACCGCTGCTTTGGTAGTGTTGCTGTTCGTTGCCCAGCTGCTGCTGCTGTTGTTGCTGTTGATAGTGATTTAAAGTGCTGTTGCTGTGATAGAGTACAGCATCGTGCGTAGAGCCATCATTGCTGCCGCTGCCACTACCGCTGGCGCTGCCGCGCCCATAGATTTGTGACTTCGATTGGCTGCGGTACAAATGCAGATTGGCCACGCCATACGGGTCGAGGCTATCGAACGTCTGCAAGTAGTGCGGACTAATTTGATTGTAATCGCCCATGCAGGAGGTGGGCGCAGGCGCCGCAGCACCAGCGCTACGTCGATCCAGTGTGTTGGTGCGCTGGTTGGTGGATTGCGGCTCGCGCGGCGGCTGCTGATGGCCATGGCCGTGCTTGTAGTGAGTTTGATTGCGTTCGCGATAGTCCAGCGAGTTGAAGTGATGCGGTTGTAGCGCCAACGGCGGCGGCGGCGCTGGCTGGAATGTTGTTAGCGACGGCGATGGTGATGCGGACGATGGCAGAATAGCGGAATGATGGTGGCCGTGGTGTGCAATGTAGCCCAACGAGGCAGGCGGTTCAAGTGTGAGTGGATGTGGCAGAGGTGCAGGTCTGTCTGTGTGATTGAATTTATGGTGACCAGTGTGGTTGTTTAGATTGGTGTTGTTGTTGTTGGTGGTGGGTTCGTTGTTGCGGCCGCCGCACTTGATTGCCACAAAAGAGGTCGGCAATGGCGGCAGCGGTGGGGTGTTTGCGCGCGCAGCCAACAATGTCGATGGCAAAGATGTTGCTGCCGTTGCTGCTGCTGCTGTTGCTGTATTGGAGTTGCTGCCGGCGCTGCTGTGGTTAGAGCTGTTAGTTGTGCTGCCGCTGCTGCTGCTGTTGTTGCTGTTGTTGTTGGTAGCTGTGGTGGTTATGGTGGTAGTGGTGGATGTGTGGTGACTGGTGTGGTTGTTGTTTTTGGTTAAAGTGGTGGTGGTGGTGCAGGTGCTGGACAGGGTTGCCAGTTCGCGCTACGCACCGTGATGGTTGCCAAATGTGCGCAGCACCGGCACACTCTGCATGCCGTAGCAATTCAACAACAATCCCCGGGTTGGAATGAGTTTTGTAGGCGTGTGCATAAAAGGAATTTGTTTTTGTAAAAAATTTCATAATTCAGTATTTTTTTTTGAACGATTTACTATGTAAGTGATACGATTTTTAGTTTTCAAAATCAATAGCAGTTTGGAGTTTTTTTTTAAGAAAATTTAAATAGCCATAATGGTAAATAAATAACATTGTAGAAAAATACAATTGATTTATAGAAAATTGCAAATAAATCAATGTACTTTAAATACGAGTAGTAAATTTTTTTTAGCTGGTCTACTGTGTTTTTTTTTTTTTTGAATTTCGCTTCAATTAAAGCTGTAGTTGTTGTGATTAAAGAAGAGTAGCAGTATTAAGTAGTTCATATTGTGGCAATAGTTGTAATACTTTTATTTGATTTGATAATTATTTTGTGAAGCCAAAAACAAAAAGAAAGCAATTAAAAGCGATACAAAAGTGAAGCTAAGAACTGAAAAGTTATGAGTTACAAAAAAGAACGACGCTGAAAAAAATATTCATATGTAGGTAAATTGTGAGTGACATTGCTTTAAGAAGTGCTTTCGACTGTCGGTTGTTTGCAAAGTGGGTAGATACACTAGACTACTATTCAGTATTGTATTTTCCAAATTCTACAGCAGTGTTAGAATGTTTTGTTTTATAAAATATTACTAAAAATTTAACGACTAGCTACATACTTAATAGAAAAGTTCTAAATACGAATACCATATGTACATCTATAAATATATGTATGTATAACTACATATGTATGCTGATATCTAATAGACAGGGTCGGTCCTCAAACAAAAGAGAGGAATTTACTGGGCAATTCTGGAAACTGTCTTTCAACTCAACGCAGTATTTTGTCAGGCATTTGTCAGTTCTGGTAACACTCTTGAAAGCCGTTTTCTGCCATTCGAAAGACTAATTGAAAGATATGATAACGAGGAGGTCTTAGCGTTATTCTGTTTGTCTTCCAGCAGTAAGTTTTCTAAAAATTCAATTATATAAAAAAATATATTTTTCTTTTTAAAGCAATAAAAACTAATAATTTAAAGAAAATTAATTAAATAATTTTCTATAAACTAAAATAAAAAATATAATTTATTTCATAAGAACTAAAAATTTAAGAAAATTTAATTCAAAAAAGAAAAAAATTAAATAAAAAAGAAATAAAATAATTTTCTACAAATTAAATGAAAATAAAACCTACCTAAAAAGAAGGTAAAAAAAAAAGAAAAAAATTAATCCATAAAAAGAAAGCCTACAATAAAGCTTCCAAAAATTTAATGAAATTAAAAAACGTTTTTTTTAAACAATAAAATCCAAAAATTGTAACAGATAATTGGAAAAAATATATAATTAAAAGAATTAAATAATATAGATATTTCTTTAAAAAATCTAAGAGTTAATTTAAAATAGAAAAAAAAAATAAAAATAACGAAACAAAATAAGTTTCGAAGAAGATAAATGAAACGAAATTAAAACAAAACATATATTTTCCTTTTTAAAGTGAAAAAAATAAAATAAGATGAAAAAAAATCAGATGAAATAAAAAAATTCATTTTTTAAACAATAAAATCTGAAAGATGAAAGAACAAAATAATAACAATTATTTAAAAAAATGAGATAAGTTCCTAAAAATTAAATGAATTTCAAGATAAGAAAATTTTTTAACAACAGAATCTTAAAATTAACAAATATTAAACTGAAAAAGAAAATGTAAATAAAAGTAAAAAGAAGACAAAACAGGAAACAGTGAGATTAAATTAAAAAAGAAAAAAAGATAAGCTCATAAAAATTAAATGGATACAGAAAAATTTAAAACAATAAAATTGAAAGATAAAAAAATTTAATTAAAGAAATTACCGCTTAGGCTTTGTTGCCTTTTCCATTTATCCCAATAAACAATCGTGACACAAATCTCAAAAACAATATTAAAAGAAAATTAAACAAAGGATAAAACAATTAAATAAAAAATATACAAGGTCCTAAGTATTAAATGAAATTGACAAAAAATTTCTTTCCATAATAACAAAATCTTGAAATTAAAGGAAAATATATTAAAAAATAATAATAATAAAATAAAACAATTTCTTTAAAATTAAATGAAATAAAAAAATTTAAAAATTTAAAAATATAAATAAATAAAAGTAAAAAAGATAAAATAGATAATTATGAAATTAAATTATAATAAAATATATATTTCCCTTTTTAAAGCAATAAACCTAAAATTTAAAAGAAATGTAAGTTACAAAATTTAATAAGTTCCTAAAATAAAAAAAAAATCTTTTTAAAACAATAACATCTAAAATATATAAGAAAATTAAATTAGTTGAGAAAAAATTTAAATAAACAAATTATAAAACAATTAAATAAAACAAGATAAAAGTTCCTAAGTATTAAATGAATTTAACAAAAATTTCTCTTAAAAAAATATAAAAATTAATTGAAACAATAGATAATAGAAAAAAAACTAAAAAAAGTTCCTAAAAATTAAACTTAATTAAAAAAAACCAAACATTTTTTTAAAGAAAATTAAACTAAACAAATAAATAAAATTAAATAAATGACAAAACATGAAATAAGTTTCTAAAAATTAAATTAAATTGATCCATTCTTTTTTTTAACAATAAAATTTAAAACCTAAACTAAAAAAGAAAAAATGTTTTTTAGTAGAAAAAAGAAAAAAAGTACCTAAAATGTTTTTATTTTTAAAATAAAAAAATCCAAAAATTATTTGAATAAAAATAAATAAAAAAAAGAAAAAAAAATCCCGCTGCCCAAGCACTCGAACCTCGGATCTCTCGATAGGCACGGCACTTGGTCATGACGACTGTTGGAGCAGCGCGAGCATACGGGTACATCTCCATTTGGAATATGCTCAGGTGCTTTCAAAGAGCTTTTCACCATCAAAGTTGGCAAGGGACCGTTTTTTTGCAAGATTTTCGTTCCAGAATAAACGAAATCTTTTAAACTATGTTGCCTCCTGTCTTTCAATTGTCTTACAAAACACTTGCCTACTATCTTAGCCAGAATTGCCCTGTTAGTTTCATACAAGTTTTCGTCATTGCCACATCCTAAAAAAGCGAAAATAGAGTTCTCTTCATACCATCTCCATTTATGCACTAATTTTAGGATGTGCGAAAATCGAGTTTTCTTCGCAACTACTTCATTTACGCGCCAATTTTACGATGCGATGTTGTTGAAATTTATGATATTTTTCATAACTAACCCTATCTTTAAAAAATGGAAAAATTCGTCACTCAGGGACGAAAATTTGTATGACGCTAAAAGCTTTTCCAAGTAAGCTTTCCAGCTATGGGATATTCACAAACATTTTCCACGACAAACTCTATATTAGGTATACTTTTGATAATCGATAGGCTACGTATTTGTATGTGTTATGTAAGTGACGATAGTGTTCCTAAAGAAGCTACAATTCTACTTTAGATAAATATTGAAATGTATACTACATAAATTATTATATTAAACTATGGATTTGAAAGTGTTACCAAGTTATATGTACATATGCATATAAGTACGCACGAGTTTAAAACAATTCTTTATTATGCCACCAATTTATAGCATCTTCAAGTAGTTTTTAGAAAAGTTCAATGTTGCCACTTTAGAAATATTGTTTATACCAAATTACTTTTTGATGTGTAAATATCTTATCTCTCGGTATGGGTAAAATTTGCGGTAACCCAACCGGAAATCTGTAATTGCTTCTTGTATGTAGAGATGAGTATTCTTGAACTAGCTCAGGGCTATTTAAGGACAATTCAGCGTATAGTTGGGGATCACTTCGGGACCGTTATGCAATTTTTTTTTTTATTAAAATCTGCACAACGGGAATTTTCGTAAATTAAGTGGTAGTTGTAAGCTTAACCACAACTATTTAAGCCAGCAAGATTTTTTTTTTTTCAAATATATCAGTGGCTGATCTCTGTAACAACCAAGTGCCCTGGAATGGATGGCAATATTCCTGCACAACTACAAAGGGTTGGAGAGAGGTGCCGCGAAGATGCTCACTCACATTTACGTTAGCTAACTACGAAGACTGGGGGTATATCCCGCGAATTAGGAGAGTAAAGTTTACTTTCAATGCCGGAAGAAGCTCTGACATCTCTTCCTTCCTATTGAAGACCCTTGAGAGATTGCTTGAACTGTGTACATATAAGATATGGGATTCTTTGGGAGCGACTTGATTTAAACCCCAGGATACAGTGACATTGCGGGGAACCGAAGAGCTGATTAATTGCCTAGGCAGGATACCCTTGAAATCCTCTCGCCTCGCCATCCAGGAGTTCTTTCTGTTCTTACAGTAAGCTCCGCAAACGTTGATTGAAAACGTCGGCCTACAAAGGTGGGCCAATCCACGTCAAATCGGCTACAATTTCTGATTTAGAAGAATTTTGGTCATAACTTCTCTTCATCTTAAACAAAAATGATTTTTTTCCGAAAGTTAAGGAAAATTTTTAATTTCATAATTTCCGGGATTTGCCAATTATTTTTTAAATATCTAAAAAATTATTATAGCTACAAAGATGATTCTGTGAAATTAAAAAACCGTAAAAGCAAAAACCTATAAAAATTATTGGCATTTCTTTTTAATGCAATACCCCCAACTGATATAAAAAGACCCCTGAACTATTTAAGAATCTTCAAACTTTGAAAATTTTTGTTTTCCACATTTTAAATAAACTTATCTTAAATAATTTAAACTTATTTTTAATTTATAGTTTGCCAAAAGAATTTTCTATTTCAAAGAACAACAATTAATATTAAAAAAAAAAAAAAACAAAACACCTTGAAATTTTCAGAATCAGTTGGGAGCATTGTATAAAAAAATTGAGCCCAAAACTTATATAAGTTTTGCTTTTACAATTTTTAAAGTTCAAAATTCTGTAATTTGTTAATTTTTTTTACCAGAACCATTTTTGTAGCTATATAGTTCTGGGGATATTCAAAAAATAAACTTGCTAAATTCGTGAAGTTGTGAAATTTTGAATATTTGAAATTTTTTATTTTTTTATTCTCTTTATTTTATTTTTTTATTATTTTATTGTTATTCCCACCGAAATTCATCCATATCAACCATTGGTCGACTTGAAATGTGGTCAGCCCGTAAGCGACAACTCTCTGTTTTGATGCCGCAACGGGTTGGAGAATGAAGAGCTAGAAGCATATCAGAAATTGTATCATTAACACCCCCGGGGACCCTTTGGAGTGGCAATGTGCACCTGCGGAACTTTATTTGGAGCACGCAGCTATTTTCCTATAAACTTCATAAGGGTTAAGTGCAATTACCGTTTCAAACTAAAAAAAATACTTCCTTGGATAGCGTCATGATTCATAATATTTGCTGGAAGAATTTTCTGAAACAATTTAAATATTTACTTATAACTTGGTAACAAAATTTATTTTAGTAGTAAGAACTTATATAAGTAGGTAGTGGAATAAGGTTCTATCAAATTCACACTAAATTTACCTTTTAATAAAAAATAAAAAAACAAGTAAAATATTGAGACAATTGAACACAAGTCTAAACATTTAAAAAGGATGCTAGTCTCAATTCAAATGCAATACAACAATTTTAAAAAAATTTCAAAGAAAGCATTACTAAAAGCAGAACTACATACATATATAACTAATACATAGTATATTCACATACATTCCACATAGTTGCATCTAAGCTAATACATAAAATGTAAACATGTCAGCACTCGATTTAAGAGCAATCATTAATTACTACTTCTGCTTAACATAGACTGAAAAAATGTATCTCGAATATAATAAAAATTTACGTAGAAAAAACAAGCAACAGTAGCAAGCATTATTTCACGCCCTTATTAATGTACATATGCATGTATGTATGTATGTAATTAGGCGTTAATATTCTGTTTTATGCAACGGTGAGGCAAGTTGGCATGCAAATTTACTTAAGCAACACAAAGAATGTCCTCAACAATTTTTTAGCTAATTAAAATACATTTAAAAAAAATAAAGGAAATCTTAAAAAAAACATGCAGATAGAAACCTTAAAATTAAGTTAAATGAAACATATTAAAAAAAGTAACTACAAACATCAATTTTACTAAGCCAATGTGCGCTGTGTACAATTGTGCTGTATACAATTTGGTAACGGCTGTGCATCACTTGCAGCCAACATAACATACTTAGTACTAAAATCTAAATATAATGAAAAGGTAAGCAAAGAACGAGGTGGAAATCCATTTAGGCGAGTCAGAGCGAAATTTAAGCAACGCTTTTTTTTGTATTTAATTTACACCGTTTCAGTGCTCTACACTTGACTGAAATTTTTGTCCTTAGCAATGAACGACGCATTCGCCAAGGACGCTGGTTGGTCTGAGAAGTTCGTAGTAACCCCGCAGAAAATAAATGTAGCCAGTATACATTATATATGAGCACCTTAACTAGTATTAAATTAATGCAGAAACTGACTTGTTTGTTACAAAGCATGTTGGTCCGTAAGGTGGTTCTAAAATCACCAGGAAAATTGATTTTTTGCAAATGTAAATAAGGAGACTTGTGTTTTTAAGTTTGAAATCGGTTAATATTTAACCGTGCCGTCGAGGCTTTGAAGTTTTCCGTATATTTGTAAACAAAATTTTTAAATAAAATTTGTTGAGAAATCTTGCAACAATTAAATTATGATGCAAATTAAACTCTAAAATTATTGTAATAACTATTTTTGTATGTGTGGTTGCGAACACCCAAAGTAACTAATTTTTATAAATAACAGATGTGAATATCGGTTACAAAAAACTGGTTGGTAAAATTATAAAGTTAAATATGCATCATAGCTTCATTGTTCGAAGATTTCTGCAGGCAAATATTCGATAAAAAAATATAAGAAATAATAAATTTT